TAAAATATATATATATATTTTCTCAGAAACATTTTGTACTTATGCTTATTTTTGTTACTTCATGGGGTGAAATTGGGTTGCGTTCAGCTTAGCCTGGTTTCACAATGACATCCATCCTCCGGCATCTTTGGAAAAGGAAAAACAGAGTGGGCGTGAGTGGTGTAGTGGCAAGCATGTCTAAGTAAGGAAGTAAAACAGGAGTGGAAATCATGCTGAAGGACTAATGTTTTGTCCTGAACTTCTCATACCTCTCCCTGGATCTATCAGCTTAAAGGAAAACACATCAATATGCAGAAAACAAAACAACTTACTGAATCGGGGGAAGCAGACATCCAAATATCCCTTAATTCTAAAAAGAAATCTGTTTTCCTTTGCATTAGGTGGTTAATTCTGGAAAACAGACACACCTTTCTCTGTGACCTCCTTCTCAGAAGAACATGTCTGACCCCCACTTACTGCTGCCGCCATGACTGTGTGTGCGTAATGGGGGTTCGTCGTTATAATTTCATGACCCTCCACGCAATGAGACACAACACGACAGCATCAATTATTCAGCCCACCTCGGTGGCGAGTCACGTGAGGGGCGGAGAACCTGGAGACACGGGGTTGTTGTCTGGCAGATTACAGAGGTGGAGCGGACCAACTAAAAACTGATAGATGTTGCACTGATGGATGTTTTTACTAGCAGCAGCCACATATCTAGCTGCACCTTTCATTCCTTTGCAGTCAAAAGGCATTCATGCTATCAACGGGCTAGTCAATGAGCAACCATCTGCTTCCTGATGCCATTAACCTTTAACCTTAGAGATGGGTCAGGAGTCAAATGATCGACCTCTCAGGTATCCTGACAATAAAGGGGAAGAAGCAAATTGGATACGGGAGGCTGGGAGGGGACGCAATCCTCAGTGGTTCTTTGGTTTTTAACACGTTAAATGACACGGTGAGAATGTGGGAACATTTTTCTTTATTTATAAGTTATTACTTAAACCACAGACGCTGTTTTGATCACTTTTAGACTAATGAACGTTGACAATTTAGTTTCTAATATGTTCTTTAGTTCGCCTACTTCATGTTGTTAAGCAGGTTCTTCTCATGTGTCATCAATCGCATTAAAACAAAAATATTAAAATTGTTTTTTTCACCTTTATAGAATAAAACATGAGCTAAAACTGCATTTTCTTTTTAGCCAGGATATCTTTGTCTTATGTTAAAATCTGTTTGATGATATGAAATATAAAAGGGAAAACTATATCTAACCTGACAAAAACTTCTGCTGTGTTTAAGCTTTGATTAATAAAACAAAAAGACAGGCCTCTTTAGAGCTGAACTCTAGTGAGCAACCTGTTCTTTTTGCGAAGAAGAGAGGCTTTGGACACATTCCCAGCTTTATTTCAAAAAGGAAAACAAAGGAAAGAACAGCCAGCTGCGCTCTGTTATGGCCTCTTGGTGCCTTTGCTTTTTTTTTCTTGACATTATTATTTTAGACCTAACTTTCTTTCTTTAAATCATTGTTTGAATGTAAGTCTACATAGACCAGCATAGGGTGCTGCTCTCAAGCCGTTGAGTTAGGCTGTTTTCCCTGTAATTCACTTTAAAATGGAGGAAATACCACAAAATTTGGGTTGTAATTCCTCATAAGGAGATAAATGCTTGGATGGAACATTTCCTGTCTCTAAACGATGAATCTGTTCGTTGTTCCTCCTGAACGCAGCTCCCTGCCTCCTGTTCCACATTCCTCAACACCCCCCCCAACTTATATACCCTGCCCTCCATTCAACCTTTTCTTTTTAACGCACCCCCTCCTCTTCATATGCTTTCAGCCAGTCTTCCGAGGGCTTCTAAACCTCCCTGTAGTCATATTCAGTTTTCTCATCCTCTCTGGGATATCTGGGAGCGGGAGAGACAGTGGGCAGTTGATCTTTCATCACACTCCCGTCTCTTTGTGAGCGTGCGTAGAAGTTTACATAACCCCCATAAGAGCCCGCATCGGGTGCTGTGCTTCTTAGTTAAACACAGCAGCTGCCTATCCCTTCCATCCAGCAGCAGATGCAGCAGTGATAGCCCTCTTATCTGTTCAAACACTCATGCTGCTTTGTATTACCAGTGTCAGCTGCACTTGATTAAATCAGGCTATGCCCAAAATCAAATAAAACTGCTTGAGTAGGATTTCGAAGAGGCATTGCCTAGACGGCATAAGAGTAGGAATTTTCTGACCTTTTGTTTCTAGTAGGTGAGGGAATTTTGTTTATATGACATTTGTCTAAACTTTTCCAGGGTTTTTGCTTTCACAATAAAACCACACACTTTTAAACGTTTTAGCTTAATAAATCTTAGAAACATGGCATGCATATCTATTTAGGGGGGTGGTGGCCTAGTAGAGGTTCTAGGTTCAAGTCCCACTCATTCCCACAAACTGCCACTCTGTGTGTCTGAGCAAGACCCTAAACCCCAGACTGCTCCCTGTGTGCCACACAATGGCAGCCGACGTCTCCCCAAGGGGAGGGGTTAAATGCAGAGAGTGAATTTCCCCATTGTGAGACAAAAATAGGGAATTACATTTATTTATCTCCATTTATTGGAAAAATAATAATTAAAGAAAAAAATATATATATATGAGAAAACTTGTTGTGGGACACGGTGGTGGCAGTTTCATGCTGTGGGAATCCTTCTCCCAAAGGGCTAGTTATACTTCTGCAGCAGTGTGTCGCAGTGAGGTTGTCGCAGGTATGACGCAGATGCTTTTGATTTATGCCCAATATTGAAGCGTGGTCTGCGCTATGTTAATCCACGCCACAACACAAGAGGAACAATCGTGAACAAGCTGTGGGTCTAGATACGGCCTAAGCGGTGAGGAAGTAGAAAAAAACGGAAGGGGCATGTTTGTGCGACAACGGAGGGACATTAGGGCGAAAAAAAAGCGGGGATCCAGACCTCACTCTTCTAGCAGGTCCGTCTTCATGATTCGTTTTCCACAATGGCAGTCATACAAACAGAATAAGCCGGTAAGGTTACAAACAGGAAATATGTATGGTGTAGAGCGGATGTAGATTTGACCAATCAGAGGCCTCCTGTCTGCAGCACTGTCTGTGGTCACCTAGAATTTGGGAGAGATGCACTAGAGTGTCTGCAGAAGGAGCGGAGGCATATCTGCATTAACTGCAACACATGCAGACGACCTGGTCTCTGAGTATAAATCAGCCTTCAGCAGGGACAGGCAAATGAACACCATTCCGTATAATTTCGTAAGTAATTGCTGTAGGTCGTTCTCAAAAAGCATCATTGAGGTGTGAAACAAAAAACTGAAAATTATTTTGAAAAAATATTTACCTAATACTTAAAACATTTAGATCAGGGGTGTCAAACCGGTTCCAGAAAGGGCAGTGTGGCTGCATTCATCTCATCAAGTCCTCATGTTCAGATTGCACTCAGTTAATGAGATGAATGGAGTCTGGTGTGCCATTGCTTGGTTGGAAAGAAAACCCGCAGCCACACGGCCCTTTCTGGAACCACTTTCTCTTAGCCTTTTATATTGTATGTTTTCTTATGTTTTTTAACTGTGTTGTAAGGCACTTTGTGGCATTGTTCTATGAAAGGTATTATATAATAAAGCTTACTTACTATATGAGGGCTGAACTGTCTGCATGGACTTCATGTGACTGTCTGCAGTAGCATGTAGGGGCCCTTAGATCCCATAATGGTATTGTTACACCTCTGTTAGAACAAGTTTAGGTCTAAACTCAATGTCTCAGCTTGACATACACAAAACTAGGTCCCCAAAGGTGCTGAAAAACTTAGATCTATGCTTATAGAAGCATTTATCTAAATAAACCCACATTTCTAAATCTGAGGGAAAGGTAAAAGACACAATTAAACCATATTGGTTGAGAATGGGATACTTTTGCCAGTAAAATGTACTTAAATTGTTTTTTTTTTTAGCCTTGAAAGTCTGTTTACCCTTGATCGTGTTGTTCTTAGATTAAAGTAAAAGAAAAATCATGTAGGAAGCTTTTTTTAAAGGATGATGGCTTTAATCTTTAATTCAGCCGCTTGTAGCAGTTGTCTCTCTCGTCTCTTTCTTATTGTGCATCCAGGCTGTGAAGACGCGTGTTTTGATGCTATATTAACAGCAGCGCAGCTATCAGCCGCCTCGGTCAACCACAGACAGATAGAGAGTGGATGACAGTTTGCAGTCAGTCAGTGGGTTAAAAGGCACTTCCTCAGCTTATCTGAGTGTGGAGGGTGTTTGTGTGGGTTCCTGTGGTTTTCCTGTGCGGTTTCAGTTAGTAGTCGCCAACAAAAGGAAGAAGCCAGGAAGGAGGAGGTGTGAACAGACGTCAACAGTGCCGGTCTGAAAGGAAAGAGTTGGAGAAATTAATGAGATGATAAAAAGGTAATTAAAGGGGGAAAAAAAGGGGGGAAGTTATTATATAAATATGAGCTGGGAGGTTATGATGTCCAACATGGCAGTCCATCCCAGGTTGAGTTTCCACCCAAAACAGGAAGAAACACGACCACCCTGGTTACATCTTCCCTCTGACCTGGCTGCCTGAACCCAGCGACAAATAGACGGAAGGAAAGCTGAGTGTTCGTGCTTTTAGGTAGACGCCTTAGGAAGTGAGTTTCACTGACATCCTGCCCACCTGGAGACACCGTCTGCGTTCGGTCATGTCAGGTCACGTCTCCCACAGGTTTCCCGCGGCCACCATCATGTTGAGTTGGCAGCCTCTGCATGCATGTGAGCATGGAGGTAAAAAAAATATTAAACGGGCTTTCCCAGCCTCCCAGCGCTGAACCCCTGACCTGGGAACACATCGACAGCTGGGACGCCGACACCGGATCTGTGTTTGGGTTGTCTCTGCTTTGTCCGGCCTGCTGCTGTGCGTGTGAAGCCAAGCGAAACCGCGCACGGCGGGAGAGTGTTGAGCCAGTATGTGTGCGTCTACCGTCTCCCCTCTGACGCTGTGCTTTGTCCTCGTTTTTTTGTTTATTTTTTTCCACAGATCTTCCACGCTAACACAGACCCGGCTGAGGTGGTCCTGAACCGCATCCCGCAGCCACTTTTGGCCCGCTTCGTTCGGATCCGGCCCCAGACCTGGAAGAATGGGATTGCACTTAGATTTGAGCTCTACGGATGCCAGATCACAGGTTAATTCCCTCAATTGATTGAGTGTTTTACATTCAAAGCATGGTGATGAATGGAAATATTTTCATGCATACAATTTTTTTCCAATTCTGCTCTAAAGTGTTAGAGGTTTTAATGTTGCTGAGTAACAAACTCTGCACACAGGAGCCGCTGCAGTCATAATTAACTGAATATAAGCACTATGTGAACACTGGGCTAAATTATAAAACTGATTTTTTTTTACTCCCTTTTACCATTTAATGGTTTTTTAGTTAGAACTGTCTACACATGATGCAAATTTGATTAAAAATTGTTTAAAAATAGGATATAAAGTGAGCATTTAGTGTGCTTTATAGTCCCAAGGCGATCCTTTAAATATAGCAAGCCTTAGGCTAATTAAGAAGAAAGGGTTCTCTGTTTTTCTATTTTTTTTCTTTTGGAGGAACCACTAAGTGTCATTTTAATTTTCTGATGCTCCTCCACTTCTCCATGCTCTCTTTCTGTTTCCATCTGCTCGAACATGTCCTCCCCCCCCATCCCTTCTCCCTCTTGTAAAAAAAAAAAAAAAGTCTCTTATGGTTAAAAAACTCTTTTTGAAACTTCCTCTTCGCTCCGTGAGCTCCTGCAGATCGGGAAACGAGTGCTGCTCAATCATTCATGGCTCTCTGTTCGCTCTTACATCAGAAACCGTGATTCAGTTCAGCCTCAACAGCTGCTGCTGAGGCAGCTATTAGCTCCTACAGCAAAGACACAACCTGGTGCTTAAAGATGACTTCTAAACATAGCCGGTGACCTCGAAGGCACGTGCTCCTTTCCGGAAACGTACGCAAACACGCGCTTATATCCGCCCCTCCTGTGCTTTTTATCCATTATTTACATGGCCCTGCATCTGCAGTGACATAACACTATGAAAGTTTGATTTGTGTTCCCTTAAACCGTCAGCACAACTAACATCTCCCCGAGCTCCCCTTCCTCCCACCCGTTCTTTCTCTCCCTCTGTGTCTTTGTTCCTCTTCTTCAGGCTCTTGCTACCTCTCAGAAGACCCTCCATGCTTATCTGCCACCACAGCTCTCCTCCCTTCCCTCTCCTGCTGTTTTTCCTCTACAGACGTCTCATCTCTACATTTAGTGCTCCCTCGAAGCCTTTTTTTCCCCACTTCCCATCCTCCAAGCATCATAAATACCTCTACCTATACTGAATTCCTCCTCGTGTTGCCAGTTACTTCCAATTCCATATGGGATTAAGAGTCTCATTTTGTCGTGTTTGACACAGAGCTTTGTGAGTGCTGTATAGTGACAGTAACAATGCATGACCAACATGAAAAGATGCTTAAATGTCATTGTGAGAATTGGGATGTATGAACGCAAAGCGGCGATGGAGTTAGCATGTGCTTTTATCTCACTAATAGGATTCGATGAACATTAAGCAGGACGACTAGAATCTCTGCTTCTCCTGCTTCCTTCAGTCTGAATCTTAGAGCTTAGCGGCCAGAAGTGCAAACCTGCGGCAGAACTCAACCGCTCCCTTGTGGGAATATATGCAGCAGCGATTTAAGTCGTTGCTGAAACGTCTCCATCGATCGTCTGGAACCGAAGTAATCTCTTACCTCCTCTTCTTTCCACTCCAGACACTCGGTGCTCGGACCTGCAGGGCTTGATGTCCGGCCTGCTTCCTGATGCCCAGATCTCGGTGTCGTCCAGCAGGGAAGTGGTGTGGAATCCCAGCTCGGCCCGGCTTGTTGCAAGTCGCTCTGGCTGGTTCCCTGCACCTACGCAGCCGCTGGCTGGAGAGGAGTGGCTCCAGGTACCTGATGGTGTTAAGTCCTAGTGTCTATGCATTTGGATTGATGACGTATTTAAGATGTTTTCCATTGGTGCCTTTAAATTCTTGCATCAATAATCAATTATTAAGGCAGCAAAATATCACAAATATATCAAAAAGTTCAAATATGCAATATTCCAGGAATGTCCAAAGTGTCTTTTTTGGACCATCTGCAGCCAAAGAACTGATTTTCTTTGGCCTGTTCACCAAATGTTCATAACGCTAAAAATGGACAAACAATCCTAAAATAACCTTCAAGGAAAAATTCGATCTACCATTCTTTACATATCCATCTCCTAATGAAAAATCTGACCAATTTGTTAAATTAAAATATTGCAAGCTCATATTTTATGGTGCAAAACCCATATCCAGAAGCTTTACTCCAATTTTCTGTCTAGGTCCTTTCAAAATATCAAAAATAAAGGCCACTAGACCCTAAAAACTGCTGAAGATATACTTTTTCTTGACCCTTAAATACTTTTGACAACATTATTAGTCCAAGGAACAAGATGTTAGGACACTCCTACAACAAAGGACGTCCTACTAAAATAATGTCGGCTTATATATTTCAAGCATTATATTCTGCATCATTCATTCAAATGTAATATTTTACCAGTTGGACAGAGTTTCACAACAGCAGATGGCCACACTGGACAAAAAATGACATTGCCTCAAATGCTAAAGGTCACATACTGTAGTGATGGGAACACAGATGACACAAGCAGACGTGAAAATGAGTTAGCAGAACATGCCAAACAATTGCACACCATCATAAAAACAATTCTTATTACTAAACATGGTTGTGGAAGAACATATTTTTTAATGATTGCAGAAGACCTAAAAGCCTTTAAGTTGATAAACATCTAAACATGGGGAATTTTTCTATGAATGCTGACTCAATGTCAATCATCTAGGTGGACCTCGGTGTTCCCAAGACGGTCCGTGGAGTTATAACCCAGGGAGCGCGGGGAGGAGACCCAGGTAGTGGACCTGCCACAGACAACCGGGCCTTCGTCAGGAAGTACAAAGTAGCACACAGCCTGAATGCAAAAGATTGGAACTTCATCATGGACTTCAGGACCAGCCAACCTAAGGTGGGTGGAGAAGGGGAGCTAATGGAAAATTACCTTCTGATGGTTCCTATGCGTGTGAGTTCAGTGTTATATATTTTTGCGCAGATATTTGAGGGGAACACACAATACGACACCCCAGAACTTCGTCATTTCGAGGAGACAGTGGCGCAGTACATCAGGCTGTATCCGGAGAGGTGGTCCCCTGGAGGGATTGGGATGAGAGTGGAGATCATAGGATGCGACCTTCCAGGTAGGACGTCTTTCTTCTTCTGCTTGTGAGACTGCAGATCCGGCAGAATTTGAATAATTTTCCACCCTGCACTGACTTGAATGATCTAAGCATAGGCAAGGCTGAATGCATATTAGATATGCATGAGAGTCATTAGAGGCGGCCTGAGGTGAGAAGAGACAGAAGATTTACTGGGAAACAGTAAGGAGGCGATAATACTGTGAAACGCTCCGATTTTTTTAACCATTCCACTTGAAGGAGTCGAGTTCCTTTTCGCTGAGTTTCTGCACGCCAAACGCTCAACAGGGATCTGAACAAGGTTTGGTTTACAGGAATTTATCTCCAGCAAGTGAGAGCGCCGGTTTGTTCACTTTCCAGCATGGTCTGTTGGCCAGATGTGATCTTTGTGCTCCGTCGGAGACAAACACACTCTCGCTGACATACACACTAACACGGTTACCGTTTACCACTCCCTCTGCTGCGCCTGAACAGGGCAGCTCCACACGCACAGAGCCGGACACATATTTACCAAACAATCCGCAGAGCAATGAGCGGGTCCATATGCGTTGACTGGAATTAAAGGTGCTTTTCATCAGGGGCATTTAGGCTTGTTTGTATCTTTTGCATCTCCTTTAAAACCTGTTTGGACAGAGAAAACTTATAACCATGCACAGGCATGTGATTATTTTTCTACAACCGTTTTTTGCAATAATTCTAAGGTATCTTGCAAAAGACTTTCCAGTCTTCAATGCTGAAGTTTATGTGACAGACTGCTGGTGTGCACGCAAACAAAACATGTGTCTGAACTCGATACGGTGGTGGCAGCATCATGTTTTGGGGATGCATTCCTTCTACAGGGACGGCGATACTTGACGTAGATGAACGATGGTATGGAGGTATCAATGGGGCAGTCTTAGGTGAAAAAGCGAGGTTAGCAGATGCTCTCTGTCCATTCTGACAAAGATTTGGCATTTTGCAAAAAAAAAAGGGTTTCAGACTCAAAGATGCTCTAAAAAAACATAATAAATGCAAATACATGCAGAACTATCAGTTTTGTATTTTTAAAGCTGTGTTCTTTTTTTTTTAAAGATAATTTGTGCAACTTTGTGTTGTTTTATAACCTAGAATCCCAAATACGCCGTTCCCTCCATAAGTCTTGCAAAACACAGGAAACAATATGTTTTACATTAACTGCTGACTGACGAGTGAAAGAAAATAAAAAAAATGAAACAAAAACCCCCACCAGGCAGGCAGGAGCAAATTAGATCAACAAACAGGAACCAGAAAGTTGGAAGACAAAATGAGTTGAACAGAGGTTTACATTCAGGAGAGGGACTAAAGGCTTTGGTTAAATGTGGCATGCAAAACTTATGTTAACAATATTATAACTCAGCTGGGATAACGGAGTGCTGCTGACATCCTGTGACTCATTCATTTCGCCTTCAGCTCACACCACTCGCTGACGTCTGAAACAAACGTACTTCTCCCTCCATCCAGACCATGTTTTAACATATCATCCAGCCACTGCAGTCAGGCTGGATGAGTTCCCTCTCCCTCCTCTGTGCACATGGTTATAGTCCTTTCCTTTCCCAGCCTGAGGCCCGGTGCGTGGGTCTGTAAATGTTTTTCTTCTTTTTTGGTTACCATGCCTTGCCTGTTTTCCTCTCCTTCCCATCCTTCTCCTGTTACTCATCATCCATTGTACCTTTTTTCCATGCCCCTGCACTGCTGCCTCAGACACCGAGCTTTTTTTGTTTGTTTTTAGCTTGCATACTCCTTGAATCAAATATGTGTAACCTCAGGAATGCGAATACGTAGGTAGAAAATCAGCATTTTTTAGGAGACCTCACACATCCATGACCACACCTATAATTTAAAACTTGTCGCGTCTTAGCTTCAATATGGGCCTCTGCTTCCTTTTTAAATCCCACTTAATGCAGCAAAGCTCAAAAAGCTATACCTCTCTCCTTTAATTGGTGTTTATATCATTACTGAAGAACGATTCCCAAAACAATGCGCCATTTTAGAAAGTGCATTGAAACTAAAGGAAGAGTTCTGCTTCTTTGTCTGCATTTTACATCTAAGAATAAAACCAAAAATCACTTTACTGACATGCAAGACAAATTTAGAAATAAAAAAACAGTAAAGCATTTTAAGAAAAGATAATATGACAGTATTTATGTCTATTTCTCTATGTATAAATGGAACCTTTAGAGAAAACATTTTAGGGGAACATTTGCCATACAGGAGTGGTACGATCTTTCTAGGAGGAGCCTTGTGTCACATTTTTTTACTTTTTTTTTATTCTACACAGATATATCCGTATTTCATGGTGGCTAGATGTCGTATGGGGAGATATTTATTTAATAAATTCCATATCGGCCTGATGAAAAATGAGAAACATGGAAACAGAAGCTTGTTTCTAAGAAACACGATTTCTAGACTTGCTAACTTTCCATCCATCCATCCATCCATCCATCCATCCATCCATCCATCCATCCATCCATCCATCCATCCATCCATCCATCCATCCATCCATCCATCCATCCATCCATCCATCCTTTTATCTTATTTCATTTTACAAAGATTAAAGTTGACCCTTTTTTCCAGTTGGAGTCAGAAACTGTTTTCTTCTTTCAAATGGAGAACACTTTAGGGATCCAATGGTTTATAGGGAGTAGTAGGTTAAGTGACAGAAACATAGCTGCACTGTAGCAAAATGTGTGGTGATGAGCCAGTAAAGCTCGCCCCTACTTCTTTTTCTCATTTGGTTCCTCTGGGATAGGACTGTGTACCCATCTATCAGAGTGTGACTGTGCCAGGGACAGATTTACAGAAAGGCTTTCTACATAATTAAGATTTTTTTTTCCTCCTCTTCTGACATATTGCTGAGTCATATTCATTGAGAGTGAGCTATGTCTTTCAGTGCAGGACTGCATGCTCTTTGTGTGTGTGTGTGTATGTGTGAGAAAGAAAAGGTTCAGGTGTAAAAACTGGAGAAAACCGAGGAGGCATGTGTGCATGACTCTGCATTATCCATGTCAGCTTCTCCCCTGAGTCCAGCTTCAAGAGTTTGGAGCCTCATCCTGCAGAATGATGATGACTTGCGTCACCACCTGCAGCTCAAAACACGTTATGTCAGCCAGCGCTCTGCCGCAGAGGGATTTTTCCCGCATTATTAGGTCTCTCAGCTGCACTGCACTCGGACACATTGAGCACAGTGCTGGAGGCGAGGGAGGCAGGTCACATACGTTATCACACATTCTGTCTTTCTCCATGTGCACGAATGCACAAGTCATTCCCGTTGGGCTGGACGCTGCTGTCACAGCCCAGAAAGGTCAGCCCATTTACGCCGTGACAGGGCCTGACCTTTGAAAGCACCGAGTTCTTGGGAATCTTAATGGACTCTATCGAGTGTCTGCATGTGCGTTTCTTAGCGTTCAGTTGTGCACACAGGTAACACAGGTGTTGGCTCTTGGTTTATTTTAACATCCTGTCCTGAGAATTTAACTCAAAGGTCAGAGTGGAATAAAAAGGGAAAGCAAACATCGATGGAAGCGGGAGACGGAAAGACGCTAACTTGCAAGAGAGTTGCTTTTCCTTGCCTTTACCTTCCCAGCAGCGATAAGCGTCTCATTAGGTGGAAAATGACTGGCATAAAGGACATGACATTAACGCTGGGTTAATGTCAGAAGCCGTCGCCAGCTGGGACCGACCCCTTTCATGTCTGCCATTTGTCCAGCTGGGGCAGCGCCCCACTCATCTCCAAACCGATCGGTTGTCTATCACATTGTGTTTGCTTTCCATAGCTTTTAAATGGTAGTCACAAGGAGAGATGAAAGATTCCCAGCAGGAAGCTGGAGTAGTGGCACTAACAGGCGTTTCGGCTTGGTAAATCAGTGCAACTCCGTTCTCTCTCACATGTTTGGTGTGCCTGTTTTCCCTTTGAAACCCGTCTCACATGAGCTCATCAGGAATCCAGGCCTCAAAGTTTTTTGGATCATCTTAAGTGAGACAAAGCAGGGAAAGCTGACAAAGGAGTATAAAATGGAACAAGCTCAAGAATCCACTTTGACGTCGATGTCAAAAGATGTTTCTGGTTGAGCGACAGCAATGCAGAAAAACAGTTTGAATATGTTTCTAATTGTTTCATGCTGCAGACATTGGAGGAAGAAAAAGCGCTTACACAGTTTGTTCACTTGATAAATGTGATGCTTTTGTTGAGACCTGACCCCAAAACTTCTGTGTAATCACACCAAGGCTGACCCATCTGCTCCTAATAACACTCCCACTTCACATTCCGGCTGCAGCCTGCTGCACATGTGTGTCGTTGTGCACATTTTTTTGTTTTTTAATATATAAACTGTGGCGTTTTTATGCCTTGAAGGTTTAAAAACCCACTACCCTCATTTAAAAGCATAGGAAGACATGGAAACTGAAAATAATTCAGGCCATACTTTGGTATGTTTGGTCACTACCTATAGTAATGTGAATATTTGTGGATTAATAACCCTTTTGTAGATTTTTTTAAGGAATTTTAACAGCAGACAAAGATAATCTGAGTAACAGTTCATAATTTTATTGATTCAAGAACATTAAATCTAATTAAACCATCCTTGACCTACATAATAAACTGTGTTTTAGTTTCATTTTAATAGCGATAAGCTAGTGCGATTGCTTTAGGGCTTCTGTATTTGTCACATAGGGAAAGGATGGTTTGGAGAGACGTTTTATTTTAACAAATGAAATCACCTTATTTGATCAAGATATATTTTTCCAACATATTTGACCTACATTTAGAGGAGATAGCAAAAATTTTAACTCCTTCCGGCCAATAAGAAGCGCCTGCCTGCTCTCATTCTACTAGGCTATGTCTGAATGTCCACCCTAATCACTATATAGGGCACTATGTAGTGATTATAATATTTTAAATGAGTGTCCGAACATCTAGTGAATAAAAAGGAGTGGACTCAAAATTTCCCACGATGCACCTTGAAAAGTAGTGATCATCTGTCCGGTCGATTAATGGTCAGTTAACTGAGTTTAATATAAAGTCCACTATATATTCCCTGCTCTATATAGTGATTGAGGGATTTAGGTGTTAGGGCGGACGTTTGGACACAGCCCTAGTGTTTGCCAGCCAGTCGAAGCTCAGCTAGTGCTAATGCATCATTTAACTTACCAGTTTTTCTTACCAGCAAAAAAGCGGGAAGCTTCACATGCCTTCTAAGCCCCTTTACTCGTGGAGGTTGGCACAATCACTCAATAGCTGCACCAGTCCTTTCCCTTCGTTTTGCTTCTATTTAAAGAAGCCAATTCTGAGATCTGTCATGAAGCTACCAGGATCTGCAAAAACCTGAGTTCTGTCTAACTTCACTTCAACCTACAGTTCCTATTGGTGCAGAATCCTTTCGTAATGATGTTAGCATCATAACCAGATCTAAATATTTATTAGGGCTGCAAAGATTGTTCTCCTAATTGGTTAATGTCAAATATTTTTTCAATTAGTAATTGGATAGCAAAAGGAAATTTTTCAGGAATTAAACCAATTGAAACTAAAACTTTTCCTCTTGAGGAATTCTGGATAGAGCATATTGACAGATGTTTATTAATTTTTTTACAATTTTGATGCAATCACTGCTCTAAGTAGGGCGTTCTGTTCTCTAAAGGTATGTTTTTGAGTCTCTATACTCCATTTAATGATTAATTGATTATTAGTTGTGGTTATTTCAATCATCGATTAATCCGATTAAGTGTTTCAGCCCTAATATTTATACATTTTGGACCAATCAAAATATATATAACAACAATTTTAGTACTTTTTCAGTCAAATAAACCTGTCTTTTTTTTCATAACTCTAGGCATTCTGTACACAATTCACGTTAGAGTAGGTGCCCCACATTACTTTAGCTCTCCTTCTCTCTCTGCTCGTTTAATGCCTGGTTCCTGCAAAAAAAAAAGCCCTTTTAAAAGAAGCAACCCACACATTTCAAAGACAGGACATGTTCCACAAAATCCGCTTCATATCCTCAGATTTAGACCCACATGTTTTCCAATGCACCAGCATGCATGACAAACAGGGAAGCAGTGAAACAGCAGGTTTACATTCACTCTCTCTGCCCACCCTTTGTCCATGTGCATGGAAGTTGGAGACTTGAACAAACATCTAAAGACAGTGGAATGTCGAAATGAGCATCTGTTTATAAATGTGTGTGCTACAGCCATGCTGACTCGGCTCAGTTTGTGATCATCCCATCCAAGGTCGAGGGGAGTCGGTCCATCCGTCAGCTATACTGTCAGACGTGTGTGTCTGTGAGTGTACGCACATTTAGGCCAGTGTGTGTCTTAGACAGATTCTGACGCCTGAACTCGCAGACAAAACATGACAGGGGCCCTCTCGGGTGTTTTAGAGGCTTTCTGTTCCTTCATGCTTCTGGCAGGAGACAAAAGCGGGAGTCTTTTGCCGTTAAAGCAGATGCTGAAATTGCTGTTTAGAGCTGCTTTACAGCACATATTTACAGCCCTTTAAACTTAAACAGAGGTTCAAGTTTTAATTGCTGCTGTCTGTAAACATGGGTTGAGTTTGGTGATTAATATATATCCTGTAGATTCTGTAGACTGAATAAAACATCTAGAAAACTCTGATCAGCTTCATAAAGAACATATACAAAAATGCTGCCATTATTTAAAATGCTTAGTGAAAGTAAAATGTTCAGTTATATGATGCTGCTGCAGTAAGAATGAACAGACCCAAAGTCTCAAAAGTTAAAGCAAGTACTTGTAAAGGAGTTTTATATTTGTTAAACAGAAAAAAGAAAGAAATTCTCACATTTAAAACAATAATCCATCATGTTAAGCAAATCTTTTTTATTGAAGTTGTTTTCTGTCTGACAAAATCAGGCAAAAAAACAGGATTTTACAAACTTGACCCCAATGTTTGAAGGTATAAAATGCAGAGTGATGCGTAGTTATTAGGGTTTTTATAGCGATAAGTAGGTGCCATCATTTTGACTTCTACGTTCGAAGAAAGCAGTTCTGCCGAGGGGTATGATTTCTGTTCTTAACCATCCTGATCCCGGTTTTTCTTCTGTGTTTCCCTGCAGAAATAAGCACTCCAGTAGACACCGTAACACCGACTTTACCTCCCAGTCCAGAAACCACCACAGTCCCCATCACCACTTCAGGTAACAGCCTCCCATTTAGGATTACTGGTCCTTTTAATAAGGGCTTAATTTCATGATAATAAATGCATATCCTATTGCTGATCTGACTCTAATATTTTTGTTTTCCTTCCTCACGGTTCCAGCAACAGCCACTTCTCCCTCCTCTATTGGCGTCTGTGATTTTGACCACGGTCTGTGCGGATGGACACACGACCCCAGCGCCCCGCTGTTCTGGTCGCTGCACAGACATGGTGAGTTTCCCTAGATTTCAAATAAAAGGTTTAAGTACACACATCCAAAACAATGCATTAAATATATAATATATGTTACAGAACCTGGAAATGCAGAATTACACTCAGTTTCTCTGCTACCTAGTTGATTAGTTGGGCTTTTTCCCCTCAGTAACCACACATGCAACTCGTACAAAGTACAAACTGCTGTTAACATCATGACCTGTTACGGTTCATCGCCAGAATGTAATTATAGGCAGCCAGCTTTTTATCTCTTGAAATTGAGGCATAGGTTTATGAGCCTTGTTTCAGCAAGCTGACTGGCAGTCCACACCATCATCTGAAAGGGACAATAATGGCTTAAGATGTAGGGGTTCATCCTGTCGCCAATGGTTTGCTGGTTTCAACCTCTGCTTGATCTGACTCTGTCGTTTTGTCGTTGGGTGAAACACTTCAGTTGCCGTACTTAGGGCCCTGTCACACCATGGCGATTTAGACAACGTGTGCCTGATGTCCCAGAGTTTTATAAAACACTGGCATACGCTGAACTTTCTATGTATTTTTTACATTTTGGGCGTATACATGGTGTATTCATAAAGAGTCCAGTGCGAATATACGTCGACAGCCTAACTTATGCATAACGTATGGCAGCATAATGGCAATGAAATGTAACAAGCCAGTGGGGGTCCTGAGGGGCCCGGTCTGCATAAAAAGATGTCTTTGATCGCGATATTAACCTAGCTGCTGTTTATCCCCACCCATATAAAAAAGAATAAAGAAAAAGAAAAAGAAAGAAGGTTTGCAGTCGCAGCAGACTCAGCGTCACGTCTGCTAGGTAGTTTGTTGGTCGTGGGTGTCGGCGTGAACGCAGGGGGGGGTCCATCACACTCACCTTCATGCTCACCCTATGATGGGGATGCAGTGTGGAGGAGAACTGACGGTTTCCTCCTCTGATCCCCCTTTTATACCAAAACGCTGCCAATATCCCATTAAAACAGTAGCTGTAAGTTAGAAACACGTTCAGGAGTCGTCTGGAACACGGCAAATATGTTGATATGCGTTGAAGATAAGTTCTTGATAAGTTATGCATAAGTTACGTATAGGTTTTGGATAAGCTAGACGCCACAACATATGAGTAACTTGCACTTAAAATATGTAAAAGATCACCTAACTTCCTATAATTTATGGGAATTATGTATGCATGGCATACTCTGGTATACGTCAAGACGTACTTGCTGTATGTAGACGTGAGCCAGCATGTTTTAGTGTACTTTAGCGTGCATCAGCATGCTCAAAACTTATACAAAACGCCCCCAATAACTTATCCAACATATCTCAGCATTTTTGCCAGATTTTTCGCACAATCAGGCATATAATGGCATATGATGATAAATCGTCAAGGTGTGGCAGGGGCTGCAGCTACGATGCAACTTGCCAAAATCAGCAGGTGAATGTGTGATTGAATCAATGTAGCGCGAGGCACTTTGGGGTCCTTGGACTTGATAAAGCTCTATATAAGTTTATTAGCAATTTAGCATATAATACTGGCAAAGATTTAAAGTGGCTTTCATCCCCGCTTACAAGTGAAAATGACTTCAGATTGTTAATATGATGAAAATGCTATGACTTTGACTTCCAGATACAATTAAGAGAGTCCTAGAAAAATGTCTTGGGATGCCATCATTTGTACTCAGATGAAAATATTGTGTATGCATGACTTAATTGATATCCATTTAGGAGAAAGGCCATGGGTTTTTTTTTTATGTGTGAAGGAAGAAATTTATAGGCAACTCCAAACAAAATTATGTTAAATTGTTTCAACTTATGATTCAAGGTTTTGGAATAGGGGAACTGAGAGGAAAACTTTAAGCTTGGGATTTTAATATTGCTACCAAATGAGTAGTGAAAAGTCAATATATATAAAAAAAAAACAGTAATGTTCCATCTTGTAATTCACCTCCCTAAATTGCTGAATAACTGAATATTCCTGCCAAGACTCCCAGCCTGAGTACAATCAGTAAACATTTCACCTCTAAAATTCATTGTGGTATTTGATGATTCTCTACATCAGCTGAGAGCTTTTTATGCATGTAACTGCAGGGAGGATTTTATTTGTGTGGAGAAAATTGCACCAGCGCAAATGCATTAAGTTTATCAACTTCTGTGGGTCCAGACAAAGCGCTGTTCTCCACAATTAAATGGAGTCATTCTCCCACTGCGTCTTCATTCAGTCGCTTTTTTCAATTTGATTAAAATAATTTTCTTAAATTGAAACCAGTCTAATTTGGCGGAAACATTGTCTGCCAGCCCTGCTGCTCACCAAGGGTGTTAAAATGAAAATGAACCGAGGCAATCAAGAGGAAACACACACTGCGGCTGTTTCAGGCATCTACATACATCCTCCTATGACAAACAGGCTTATTTAGTTTTAAAAAGCTTAGCGGGAAGAGAAGAAGTCCAAAGAAGCGTAGATATTCCCAAACGTTAGGTTAGATTCCCATCTCATGATGCTGTGGAGAAATCCATCTATTTAGACACTTCCTACTAAAATGAGTTTCTGCTTTATGCATAAGGCAGGATCAAAACTACAGCATCAGAATAAAATACAAATCTAGAAGAGCATGCTTTCATAAACCCTCTTGCATCTCAGAAAAGTACACAAGGATCGGCCAGGATGAGAGGCTCCCTCAAGGTACCCCAAGTGTTTTTTTCTTTTTCTTTGCTCAAATCTATACGTTTCCCAACAGTATTTCTTAATTTGCCTCCATTAACTGCTTTAACTTATGTTTTTATTTCTCCCATGTCCCTTTGTAATCGTACAACTATTCTAGCAGAGGTGGGTAGAGTACTCAAAAAATGTTTACGAGTAAAAGTAACACTACTTTTCATATTTTTACTGAGGTATTTGTTTAAAAAAGTACTCAAGTACTGAGTAAATGATCATAATATCTGTTATTTGAAATTATTTAATAATGGTATTTAAAAGACTATAATAAGATAATAAGAACCAACAAATGATGTCATTAAATATAAGGATTACAGAAACAAGCCTGTACGTTTTCCAGTGAAGTTACTCACAGTGGATACAGAAGCCAAACATCTTACTTTAGTAAAATTAGCAACATTTTAAAGTAAAATTAAATACTTTAAAATGTTGTCCATATAATCTGTTAAACTTCCTGCATAATTATAATAAAGCAATTAATATGCACGAAACAAGCGGAACACTTCTCCACTTGTGAAAGTAAAATCTGTTGGGCTCTTTTTGGCGTCAAGACAATTATTCTTATTGCCACATTGCCAGACAGGACACTGTAATAAAAAAAAAAAAGTAAAATTAAATAAAAGTAAACTGTATGGTGCTGTAAAACTCCTTCTAAAAGCATATTTTTGCCAACAAGTTCATTATTTAACTGTAACTGAGTACCGGTAAATGTTATTGCCTATTGCCCACCTCTGTATTCTAGCAACAGCCATTTATGCTGCAGATAATATTGTTCATTTCAGGGTGTAAAGCAGCCCTGCTGACAGAAACATAACATCAAGGCTTCTAGAAGTTTCCCAAAATCTCTCAAAGTTTTTTCTTTACTAAACCATTTTTCATAACTTTGGGGGAGGAAAATAAAAAAGTGTTAATTTGTGATAAAATTAGCTTAAAAGCACATAAATATATTCAATTTAACTCAGGTATTCTATAAAAAAAATAGCTGATTAAACATTTTATTTGCTTTTTAAGAAAATAAAATATCTAATTTTTACACGTGTGACATTTTAAAGGAGCATTGTCATGTTATATGTTTTTTTAAACTGGATTTTGGACTATTCTCCATTATTTTTTCACTACTATATTGGGAGGTGCTTACTTGCTTGGCTTCATTGCTTCCTTGTTTCCCCTTTATAGGTGCAGTATATTACAGTTTTTTAAGTGCTATTGTTATTGTAAATATACATGAAGGGCTTTATTTACCAAAAACCAAGCATGAAGAACAAAAATAATAATTAATATGCCAACGGGAGGCAGTAATCTAACAAAAAACTGCAACCAGAGGGAGCTACTGGTGTTTAAATGTAGAAAATTACGAATAACGTTCTCCTTTAACTGTTTTTAAAGGCTCTTAAAAGTCATTAATTTAACTTACTAGAACCTGAATCTTTTTTTAACCAACGTAACACACTTAAAAGCATAGTACTGTTTAGTTTGGAAGCATTAACCTTTTTGAAATCTTAATATTTCTTGATAGCAGTTACTGTCCTTTGCCTAATCTCACAGCTCCTGAGGCGTGACGTGTTCGGCTTGTATCCGAGGGCTTCAAAGCGCATTCTTTCATCACAGGCAGATCAGGAAGGGTTGCACAGATTAGCCAGGTTTTGCCTTTTATGTTGGAAGTATCATTTCCAGCCGTTCAGACACGCCATACGTGCCTTTGATTTTCCTCTTAATGTCAAAGGTCAGAAATTTCTGCCAGAGAAGGATCATTATTTCACCACTATCAAATCACCGTTTAATCCTCTGTAGAGCTCCTTTATCCCCTGTGACCCAGAAGCCACAAACTTGTCACCTTTCGACCTCCAGCCATGAAACGAGTAATAAAACTAGAATTAGCCACGTGGATTATTTTGCATTCTGATGCTTTCCTTGTAAAAAATCTGGTAACAAACCCCCTCAGATTGAGTCATTGTCTCTCATGGCAGCAGATAAAATGGTGAAATAGATTTTTAATGCCTTTGTAGGGCAAAGCATGCCACCTTCCCATAGGCAATGTTGTGCCAGTTCATAATTAAAAAAGAACTAGCTCAAAGTTCAGTTCACACATATGAAAATGAACTTGCTCACATTCATAGCTCACTTTTTAAAAAATGAAGTTCACAAGTTCACAACCCTATGAATGAACTAGTTCAAGTTCATTTGGTAAATGAAGCCACAATTCTACACAGTAGAACCTCTGATTCCCCCCTTTAAATATGTGATCATGATATATAGAAAGAAATGGGAAATACTCGATATTTCCCAAGATTGCTTAGATGCTTTAACTCTTAACTCTTGAAGTGGCCGTGGTTGATGCACCGACTTGGTGGGCACAGTTTGCACAAAAAATTTTGTTTTTTTCTGTCTGAATCTTCCTTTGTTAGTTCATAAACTCTGCCAAGCGCTCTGCAAAACTGATGGAAGTTTTGCAGAGCTGTTTGCAATAATAGGTGCTGTAAAACCTGACGTTATCCGATCAAAAGTGTCGTTATCAACTGAATGTGAGCGTGATGTTCACTCTCAGAGTGTAATTACTTCAAAACTGATCCATTCAGTTCACCATCCACTAAAAATATAAACCTATTCAGTGAACGTCGTTCATTACCTGCGTGCATGCACAACCTTGCCCCTAGGTCTGGAAAAGAAACAGGCTAACATTAGGAAACCTAAGCAACTAAATAGTTGCATCAGGTGCTTGCACTGGATTTTATACGGGATGTGTCCGAATGTCCTCCCTGATCACTATATAGGGCACTATATGGTGGTTACACCATTTTAAATGAGTGTCCGAACGTCTAGTGGATGAAAAAGTAGTGGACTCGAAATTTCCCACAATGCACCTTGAAAAGTAGTGATCATCCATGGTCACTGGAGGAGCACAAATTTTGGGGTTATGGTAGACTTTCGCAGAAAGCCCTGGAGTTCTTTCAGATTTTACGTGCAAAAATTTTTTGAACTAGTAACCAAGAGTAATATAATCCTTTATAGAGCACTGAGGATGCCTCAGCTCAGCTAAAATGCACACGTACACATTCACTCCAGAGTTGCAAAGGGCCATGGGACATACTGTCACAGTCACAGCATGGAAAGTGTCAGAAACAGGCGACTCTGACCGTATGGTGGGCAGCAGGGGGGTGGTGGTGGGGGGTGGGGGGTGCTGTCAGATTCCAGACAGATTTGTTCCCCCCAGATACAGCCTGTGTGATCTGATGGCAAGCCGCTCAAGAAAAAGTCCAGTCTGAATCAGCGCACCTGAGCTTCGCTGCGCCGCTGAACATGACAAGCTATTATTCTCTGATGCCAAGCAAACAGTGGAAACTCACACCCTTAGACTGATTCTGTAATCTGCTTTTATGCTTCCTATTCTTTTTTTTTTTTCGGGCCCGGAAGGACTCCAGCGGCACATAGACAGTTGGTCATGATGAAGCAGGTGATTTAAAGCGCAGATTGGTGATGCTGGACATTTTTCCCAGCGGGCCCACTTAGGAAATTCTCAACAGAGGCACTAAGGCTCACACACATATGCATTCAATCTCTTTTCTCATACAGTTGGCTCCGCTCGTCTTTCACAGCACAATCCTTGTCGGCGTCCAATTCCAAAACTAAACATCCTCTGGTGTAAACAATCTGAGTGGTGTGGTAAGGCTTCTTTTGTGGCTAAAGGAGTTACCTGGAAGGGGAACAAGAGTCTTGGCTCAAGCTTCATGTATGAATGGTCTTCGTTATTCTATTCTTTATTGTGTTTATATTTGTCATACCCCTATTGTTCCTTGTGTCCATTTAGCGGCAAGGATCCTGTTCCTGTTAGAAGCTAGCCACTTAGCTTCTTTTTGTTTGACATGTCATACTGTGTGAAAACACTCTGCGAGTCGACATATGTGGGGAAGTCGGTTCTTATGTGGAACAAGGATGATTAATAGTAGAGATTGTGGGATTAAATACATCCTTCATTCACACGTGTTCATTTACAGCTGATATAAACTGTACGGTTGAATAAAAGGAAATCCTGTTTACATGTACCAAAAAGTTAATTTAATTTGGATGCCTTTCTGGGGCTTTGTGAATATTAATAGAGTTTCTTTCTTTCCAGCGCTCAACAGTTACCTGTACCTGGATGTGAGCATGAAGACGGAGCAGCAGCGGGCTCGGCTCGTCAGCCCCGTTGTGCCAGCTGACGCCGGGCCCCTCTGCCTACTCTTCTCCTACCAGATGTGGGGGGAAGCCAAGGGCCACCTGAGGATATTTGTGCGAGACAGCCTTAACGACGAAAGCCTCCTGTGGTCGCTCCATGACAACCACACCACCGTCTGGAGAGAAGGCCGGACCATCGTGCCACGCTCCCCAAAAGAATTCCAGGTAGCGAATGATTGATGAATTTAAACAAAAAGGGAGTCAGGTTTATGAAATCAAAGAAATTGATTTTTTTTTTGGGGGGGGGGACTTGAAAAGGAGATAAAGTACGCTAAATTTTTCTCCATCCTCAGCAGCTGAAAAGAACTAACGCATTATTGCAAGTTCTGAGTGCACCATATTAACTTTTCATTCCTCCTGCTTTTATGTTTTCTCTATTTTCCTCCACCCTCGCCTCCACCTTACCTTCATCTTATCACTGTCTCCTCTCTCATGCATTTTCCCATTTCTTTCCTGTCTTTCTTTGCCTCCTAGGTTGTGATAGAGGGTTTCTTTGAGCACAACACCAGAGGACACATCTGGATAGACAACATCCACATGAGTGCAAGCTCACCTCTGAAAGAGTGCACAGGTAGGTCACATAACGCTTTAGGAGGCCAATTTGACACTTCAGATATAATCAAACATATAGGGCAAGAACCTCCATCATCAAACCCCCAGGTTGCCAATTCTGATTTTCCCTCTACACTTCAGTTTCACAACAATGAATTGCAAAGCAATCACACACTTTCACTTCTTTTTTTTTTAAACTTTACTGTTTTCTACTGCAGTTTTATTATTTCCACTACAGAAAATTGAAATCTAAGTAAATTTTTTAATAATATAAGTGCATTTTTTCTTGAATTGAGCAGGTAAGTGAGACACTTTGCCAATAGAATATGACAATTTACATCTAAGATGAGAAAAAACAACTGAAGTCTCTCATTTCAAGTGCATAATATCTAATTATCTTATGTTAAGGGTAAAAATACTCATTCCATTGTAAGATCATCTTACTTACCTTCCTAAATTGAGGTTAAATATGCTTCTTTTAAGACATTTTTGCAGTGTAGTCCTTTGTCTTTTTTTGCCAAAAAACAGGGCATAGATGGGAGAGAATTTGGCAGAGCCCATAAAACCCTTGATTTGTGCTGAGGCTCACCTTCCAACAGGAATATCACCATAAACACACAAGAATAATTTAAATTAGATATGAAAGAAGCCCGTTCATTTTTATGTTTGTAGCTGTACTCCATATATGAACAAAAGGCCTGATTTATCTCATTATTCATGTCTAGGTCCTGCAGGAGCCTGCTAATAACCTTTTTTTATTATTTGGGCATCTTCACCAATGGAAACACCAAAACCCTGAACAGAGAGGCTTAAAATTGTCCCCATATAGTGTTGATAACGTTTATGGATGTAGTCAAAGTCCAGAGAAAAATAGAGAGGAAAATCTTTGCCATGATTTAAAAACTGATGAGCATAAACCGCTCTATGATCTGCAGAACTGGCCTGGACAATCCCCCCAAAAAATGGTGAATGAAAGATGATTCTGCAGATTTCTGACATCATATGCATGCCACACTTTTCAGATTACCATCTAAGAAACCAAAAAAAAAGCAAAACAATGTAAGATTTTATTTCCACTTAATGATTTGCCACTTTGTGTTGGTCTATCATAAAATCTAATTAACATCTAATGAGGTTTCAGGGAGCAGCGTTAAAAAGTTCTTGTTTTAAATTCTACAAGGATTAAAGAAAAGTTTTTATGCAAAGTATGGAAAGCCTTTTAGCCGCAAGGTCCTTGAACACTGATGCACATAAGGAGGTAAACACTTTAAAGTACTCGCCCTCCCATCCAAGTCTCTTCACCAAAGAGCCCAACAACTACAGAGATAAAAAGGAGGGAGAGAGAAGGAGGGAGGGACGTCGTTTACTTCTTCAGTAAAAAGAAAAAGAAAGAAGAATAGGAAAAGTAGGCCATAAATACCCCGTGGGTCTCAGAGATGCTAATCTATGTTTCATTAGATTTTTCCTCTTCCTCTCCCCTCCATCTATCTCTCTTGCACTCTCTTCTGTCATATTTGTAAACAGAGCTTTCCTTGAACCGTCAAAGGGAATTACTAGAGAGGCTGTTTCCCAAGCAAGCTTTGGGAGTGTAGGGCGGGAGCCGAGCGCAACCATAGCCGCCTTAATCTGGCCCAAGCAAGGGCTTCAGAGAGGGTCTTAAACAGATCAGAGAGCAGGCTGCAAGTTCAAAGTCGGAAGTCCTGCCATCGTATCCTGAGAGCTGGCTTCTCAGGTGGACTAGTGTGTAATTAAAGGAAAGCAGCTCTGCTTTTAAATGCCTTTTCCTCTGTTTGGAGCCATTTTTTTTTATTCTTAAATGTGCCATGAGAGTCCTGAGAGAGTCTGTTGCTCTACAGCTTATGACAGTCCTGCCTTCACTGCCTCCTGTTTTCCTTACTTCCTCCTGCCGCTCTCATGGCATGCTGGGATGTTTCTTATCATACAACACAATAAAAAAAAAAGCAGAAAAAAACTTGTTTCCAAGTTGTTTTCCCACCGTTCTTCCCCTTTCAAAGCTCTCTGAGACCCACACAGCTCCATCTTTTTTTTTCTGTTTGCATTCCAGACAATCAAAAGTGAAGGTTCTGCTCTGTTAGTTTACAGCAACCCAGAACCTCCCAGCCTGCTCCAGTTTCAGTAGACACCACGAGTAAACACACTCCCATAGCCCACACACACTCCCCTTCAGCACAATCCCACCTTCTCACAACCAAAGTCATGTCATGGAAGAAATTGCATTCCCACTAAAAAGCTCAGTAAATGCCATAATTCACATGAGATATCAGAGGAATTTCATTAAGATAGTGTTGTGACATTTCTCTGACATTTTTCTTTCATTTTAAAGTAATCTAACAGGTTTTCTTTTTTTCTGTTCTTGTCTCAATCTGTCTTCCTGTCCACGCAGAGCCCTTCTCGGCCTTTTCTCCAGAAAATTCAGGTGAGTTTGTGTTTTTTCTTGAGGATGTTACTTCCTAGATCTGGTCTTGCTTCCTGCCCGTCAGAATGCATCAACCCTGGGGGAGGGGGTTCGCTTTGATTGTATTAACTGCGTAAGTAGAGATTACAGGGTGTGGGAAAAGTCTAAAACGTCGCTTAAACATTTTCATATTTTGTCACATTACAGCCACCGACAGTGGTGGCGGCAGTATCATTGTGTGGGGATGTTTTTCTCCATTTTCCATCCAGAAAAGTTGATATTTCAACTGGCTTTAAAACAAGACAATCCTGAAAGAAAACCAGTTTGAGACTGAAAATGAATGCAGATTACAGATAAAATTGCAGTAAAATGCGGTTCTATAAAGATTAAAGGGAATAGATACAAATACATGTCAGGCTTTTTAACATCAAGCTCAACCTTCTTTTTGTTCTACATGTAAAATTCTCCTAAAATACATTGGCGTTGCAATGTGCCGAAACGTGGACAAATCCAAGGGGTTTTTATACTTTCTGTAATCTTTAGTGACAATACAGTCTGTTTGTCTAGACTGAACGAATTTGCATTTATTAAATCAGCAGCCGATGAAGATGTCTCCAAACTATCTCTTAACTCTTTACTAAAATCACAAAGATCACATAAAAATAACAATAAAATATATTCTATCTTCAAAAATTTACGGAACGCTGCAGAACTGTTTGCAAACTCAGATTGCAAGGCAAGCAAAATCAAACCCACCTCATGTAGTCAGGTATTTGAAAAGGGCTTCCGATTCCCAGGATACAACCTGGAGGGATTTAATAAATCTATGCCTCGTGAAAAATGTTTTGAGCATCTGAGGGAAAGAGGGATGGGGGGTGTCTTTCAGATTGATGCAAGTGTATCTGCACCTCTAATGCCCTCTAAGATGCAGGCTTGTCTGGGTTTTACTGCAGAATGTGATGTGTGTGCATTTCCCCGGCTTTCAAGCCCCCATAAAAAAAATACCCTAACCCTCGACAAGCGTGCACGGGCGCTGGCGTTAATATCACCGCACACGGCGGTATTCCCAGCGGTGTGCAATCAGATAGAGTGACTGAGCAGCGCCGAGCGCGGGGAACCTCCACTCTGTTCTGCGTTTTGAGTGTGTGTGGTGTGAAGTAGCAGGATCACGCATCATTTCCCCCTCTGTAATTATGTGACACGGTCCAACAACCAGGAAGTATTGAGCTCTGCTTCATAGTCTCTGTTCAGTTCACGTGGGTACTAGTTCATTCACATTCCTAAATCTCATCTGGGTTTTATTTCAGCTGTCTTGAATAGAAAAGAACAAGCTTCCTGGAAGCTGCCTAATCTGTTCTTACCAAGAATTTAAGGAAGGGAAGGTTGAAGCCAAGGGAAGGAGCATAGAGGATCTGTGGAGATAGTCTCTAAGGAGACAGCCCTTGGCTTTGAGGAGGAGAGGACCAGCCAGGAGGCTGATGAATTGGAAGAAGCCGAGACAAGAAACAGGATAAATTACGAACTTGGGACAAATGAGCCAATGTGAGCCAGCTAGATAAAAGACCTAACGCAAGCTCTAAAAGAGAGAGCTCTGAATTATTGGATTCCCATGGGGTGTCCCACTGATTCCTGCATGGATCCAGGGGCTATATGTGGCATCCTTTGCCAGTGTGAAACAGGAAGAGGAAGCTCCGTAATTCAATGTGTGTGATTGCTTGTATAACTAATAGTTGTGGCTTCAGTTCACACCAAGTAAGATCTTTGCAGCTTCAAATAAAACACTTGACTGCATTGCGTCTGTCTGAGTCGCCTATTGGAATGATGTCAACTGAAATCTCTTGATGATCTTGGTGTGAAAAGTTGTCCTCAAACTGCAACCCGAGCTACATGACAGAAGTAAATGCTTTCATGTTTTCTTTTTCTTTTTTCTTTAATTTATGGTCTTGAGGATTTGTTTTATTCTTTGCAACTGGCATGTTTGTGCATGCTCGAACGAGATGCACGCCTGCTGTTTGTAAGCTGCAGATCGTAAAAAGAATAGAAAGCAGCAAATTAAATGCAGAAATAAGCAAGAAAAAAAATGCCACTCATCTCTTTTCCCATTGGCCAATTACTTTGTATCTCTCCACCAGGGGGAGGCGTTCCTGTGCCTCCCTTACCCATCCACTGGTATTACATTATGGCTGCTGGCGGCGCCCTCCTTTTCCTGGCAGTAGCCATTTTGGCCAGAGCCCTCTGTTGCTGCCGACAACACCTGGCCACCAAGAAGAACCAGCTCTCCGTGGCCTATCACAGCTCCTCACAGTGCTTCCAGTACTCTAACTGGTCCACCAGTATGGCCACCCCAGGGGTGGAACCAGTCCTGACAGTGAGGCTGGACAGCCGGGACCGACACCGCACCCTCTGCTAAAAGAAAGAAAAAAGGAAGACTTGGCTTATTGCACCTGTTTGGCGCTTGGATGCCAACTTGTGATGTCTGTGGAAGTGCTGCAAAGACTTACAGATCCACCCCCCTGTTTACAACCACTTTGCTATCATGGTGATGGTGACACTAAGTGAAAATTTGCAAAGAGACACTCAGCATCTTTAATGGAAACAGTTTGGGTCCTCTGTCTAATGAAGCTCTTGACGTCATTGCACCACCGAGCAGGACAAAGCAGCCCAGGCTAGCGTTATTTTTCCTGAACAGCTTGATTCGGACCATTTAGCAGCGTCTCATAACCCCAGCAGTCCTCCTGGAATGACCCCAGCATGGACTCAGACAAAGACATGTGGGCAGCGGGGGGGGACAGAGGTCGAGCTGGTTCTGCTGGATGAGCCAGCCAGAGCTGCCAAACCGGCAGGCTAAAACAAGACCCGAGAGACAAAAACTGTTATGAGAAGAAAACTGTTAGGCTGAGACACATTTACTGTGCTGTAGCTGTGGAAATGATCTGGCAAGCCTAGAAAAGATACTGCTCATGGTGTCTCTGTAATAACAGCACAGAGTAGCTGGGATGTGAGATGTGCCAACATTGAGGGCGTTGCAGCACAGGATGGAAAGAAAAGAAATGTCTCCATTGTCCTTTTAAGCAGAGCATGTGCACATTTAAAACCAAAAAGGAATGCGAATCCATCATAGTTAAATCCCTGCATCGCAAATGGAGATAACCAGCTCGTTTGATTGAGCGGCTCATCCTCTCCTGATAAAGGCATCAGTCGGTGATGGATGCAGCCGTCCTCAGTGTTTAGTGTTTTTATCTTGACTCTCTGGTGTAATAAAGCACGTTGTTCCACTCCTACTCGTGCTCCATACCACACACTCCGGTTAAAGGCACACTATGCAACATTTTTCAGTTAATTAATGTGTTCCATAACGTTTTGGATGATTAAATGAGTCATTTCAGGTTGAACAAAGGTATTCTCGGCCGCCCTGGTGGTCTGTGGGGGAAATACTGCACTTGCAACTGCAGGAGCACCGACCCGCACCCACAGGCTCAGAAGTCTCGTGAGAGTCAGTCTTGCTTTACGGCCGAGAACTGCTACACCCCCCAGTTAAAAGCATTCTCGTTGCTAGCACAGTGGCGATCCTTGTGCAGTTATGCTACGTTCACGCAGCAAAAGCAGCAAAATCGTGTCTGCTGCTTCATTTTTGCTGCTTGAACCAGTTAGTTCTGACGCTCTGGCTGTGCGGTGCAAAAGTGTGTCTGACGCGCGTTGGGCGGAGCTTCACTATCCTTTCTCTGCCTTGCAGCTATATTTGCTGTGATCATTTGGAATAAAGTAGTTTTAATATGTGTTTAAATGAGAAAATACACCTGAAAACGTAATCAGTGCCGTCAGTTCATTCAGATTATTATCCTGCCTTCAATATTTTTTCTGTCGGAGCCGCTCAGACCCCCACATACCAGCGGTGCGCCGACAGAAGGAACCCCTTCATCAGCAGCCTCTGGCCAGGTCACGTCCTCGCGGTTCACCGCGGCAGCTGGTAGGTGTTTTTCATCTAAATAATCCAAACTGCATATTCTGCCGGCAGATTTCTGCATTTTAAGTTAATTTAGGTGTCAATAAACTGTTTAAGAGGAGAGATCATAGCCTCTAATCATCAGCGCTGTGTCTCTCTCCCTGCTTCAGCTGCTCAGACGCGCTGGGCCTGCTGATCCTTTGCTGCGCCTTGACGCGCGTCAACCATTGACTTTGCATGTAAACTCGCTGCTTCTGTCGCGCCAGCTGCGGTGTGAACGCAGCATTAGTCATTCGTTGCGTTCGCCTGTCTGCTAAGCTCAAAACAACCGCGCCTGGCTTGACGGAGAAACCAGGAGAACAGCTGTGCATATTTACGACAGTGCACTTTTACTTTCGCCCTCTGGGGGGAGTCTCGCTGGAAAATCAACACCGGTTGCATAGTGTACCTTTAAACCCCCCCACCCAATCGCTCCGCCTAATCTTTTAGCTGCCCAGATGAAAGCCTGCGCCGGGCCGAGCCTTGTCGTGTTTTCAGCGCGAATATGTGCTTGTTGTTGTTAGGGTGGTTGTAAATAGAAACAGCTGTCGGCCATCACCACATTTTCTTGATTTATGCTCCTACAAATCCCACAATGCCACAAGACCAGCTGGAGGCCATAAGTAAAGTGTTTTGCAGTTTATATGTGCAGCTTTAGGATATTATGATTTACAGTGGACAGATCTACACAAATGAGCTTTTTTCCAGACTTTGTTCCCTTCCAGATTGTAATAATGCAGAATCTATTAGTCAATCCATACATCAATTAAAGAATCCGTCCATCCATAGCTCAGTTCTTTTAGTCTTTAACCAGCTTAAAGCAACTCAAACATCGAGTTTTGACGAAAAAATCTGTAAAACAATCCACCAATTATGCTTTTTGAATTCTTTCGTGCCAAAAGACTCCCGATGCACTTTCTCCTATTAAATCAGGGAAAATGCTTCACATTGAGAAAACAAGCTTTTAGATACTACTGATTTAAAGTCCAACTTTATTGTTTATGAGGAAATTTCCCCCCCAAAAAATGTGACCGACACAGACTAAACTCCGCACCAATTTTCCTCCATCAGTTACCACAGAGCTGAGACGAAGCGACCCAAGTTCAGTTGGTTTAAATGAAATTAAAGCTGCGGCTTACTGGGGCGTATTTTCCGGGTTTGTCAAAGCTGCATAAAATCCATCACCTTCCACCCACACCTCTAAAATACACCTTAGTCTGGTGATAAAGCTGCAAAGCTGCACTTTTTATTCCTTTATCGTTGAAGAAAACTGTTTTTGGCTCACTCTCACGTTGTGCTTTTAAATCAACTGGGAAAGAGAGGCACTGGACACCTTAGTCAATCCATCCTGACACCATTACCCACCAAGCTACTAATAGCAGTAATTAGTTAATGGACGGCTAACATTTATTAAGGCTGCGGTAAGCACTTTTTCCCTCCCATCTGCTGCACCTCCATCGCCCAGTTCATTGCCAACCTCCGTTGTCCTGGCAACAGTGTTAATAATGCCATCGGCCATCAAAGACCTCCACATCTAGATGTATCTCTTGCCAAGCTGCTACTCCCACTCCTGAACACTTGCCAAGGGCAGCAAACACAGAAAGACACAAAGAAACAAAGTTAAAAACCCAATTAGAGTGCAGCAACTATAGTTTACTAATGTCGTTCGAACACTGGCATTCGCATCGGGTTTAAGTTCAAGCCACCCGGCGTGTCAAAGAGTCCGACAGAAATAAACATTACTTCTTTTCTGATGTTTTGTTGGCTTTTCTTTCTTTCTTCAATTTAATTTATGTTAAATACACCACTCGTAATTTTGACAGCAAGGATTTCAACATTATGTTTTGACTTGTCCTGGCACAGAATGAGCAGTCTTATAAACCTTTATCAAATGTCATGACTGTGTGTTTGACAGGAATGTATCTTAATTGAACTTTCTCTATCAATAAAGACGTATTTTTCTATTTTGATATATATGCTTGTTTTATCTTCTATATTGACAGAAAAGATGTGTTGCAACAAAAGCTAGCATTCGGTTGCTCAAATTTGTTTGCTAATTGATAACATGTAATTATATTTTAGAGTGAAAGCTGAGTTGCGACAGAGTTTGTGGATTGTTTTGCTCCTTTGCTATTTATTATATTAATAGTTTTGGTTTAGCATATAATTTATATATCATTTAAGGAATGTGTTTATGTAACTCAAATTAACTTTGAGATCATGACAAAAATTAATAAAAATGTGGTACAATAAAATATTTTTTGGGGGAAAAAAGTAGTTACATAAAATATGAGATTCCAAAGAATTAATTATTATGCAATGAGTGCAATAAAATATTTGATTTAACCTAGATTAGGTCTGCAAAGTATTAAATTATGCAAAACTTGATGAAGTGACAAATGTATCCAAGGGTTATGTATCCTAGTGGGGTTTTGTGTTATTTTTTTGACACATAGATAGAAATATTTGTTTGGAAATATAGATTAAAATAGATTTGGAGTTCTCTTTCCAAATTCAACTGGTTTCCTCTCCTTAATACGTTTATACCATTATGTAATTAACATAAAATGGCGAGAGGACGGTAGCGCAAACATTTTGTGCACAATTTCATATTCACTTTTGTAACTTCCAACATTTCATTGCCACAGTTTTCAGCTCTTATGATGGTTTCTGTCTGTTGCTAAGATGCACTCATTCTTTACCACATTTCATGGTTTAACGCTCTGTAGTTTTGGTGCCTCACCAACAAAACAACACCGCACCATCGCTAGACTACAATAAAGCAATCTGATGGAGATTTAATATTTCTTAGATCTGGAAAAGCAAGATCTTGTTCATTATTTGGCACCATGTTTTGAAGACTTTCTTGTGTGTGTGACATGATGGCGTGAAGTGATTTCCTGCTAAAGGTCCCATCCTTTTCTTTGACAGATAACAGGCACATTGGAGATGGGCGACTTTCAATGGGCAGAGATCCGCTTGGAAGTGGTAAGGCCCGACCGAATGATCAGACACACTTTAAAATACGCTAATTCATGACTTTAATAGATACATCTTTCCACAAACAGTTTGAACTCTGTTTGGCTTCCAGAATGGTTTCAATCTTTGTCATTTCAGGGACTCATGGTGTGGAAAACATTCATTAAACATTTCTGTCCTTAAAATGACATAAAGTCGATTTTGCTTTCTGTTTTAGGAGCCATTCCATGTAATGTTTTCATCGTTTATAGATGCCATTGATTTGGCTAATTTGCAATTCATGTTCACAAGCATTTGAACAGGTGCACCTAATAAAGCGGCTGCTGAGTTAATGAGTTGTGTACAGCCATATTTCTTTTGTCAAATTAATGATTTTTCGCATTTACTCTCCGTCCTGTCTTAGGTTTGCAATACCCAGAGTGGAACACAGCATCCCCTTCATCTGATCCTGCGGTGACACTCACGCCAGAGAAAGACAACTCGTGGCTGTACACCTTGGACCCCATTCTGGTCACGATCATTGTCATGAGCTCCCTGGGCGTGTTGCTCGGGGCGGTGTGCGCAGGCCTCCTCCTGTACTGCACCTGCTCCTACAGCGGACTCTCGTCGCGATCCTCCACCACTCTGGAGAACTACAACTTCGAACTCTACGACGGCCTCAAGCACAAAGTCAAACTCAACCAGCAGCGCTGCTGCACGGAGGCATGAGGGAAAAGATGCAGGCATTTCGTAAAATCTCTATGTTCTTCATCAATGCCAATTTTGTTGTTTCTCAGCGGAGCGGGTCTCGAGGAGAACTTGTTTGGGAAACGCAGCACCGTCCAGTATTGGCAGTTGTTTCAGCAACTGCACCACTGACTGACAGCCCTGGGTTACCTCCATGGATTGCTTCATTGCAGGGATGATAGGCCTCAAAAACGAAATATCAACACATATCAATTACTCAATCCTGGGTCACCTAAAGAGAACTTATAAATGCATCATAGATATGTCTAGTTTTCCAACTGGACACTGTAAGCTACACAGACAGAGCTGGACACGTTGTGTTGGAAAGGTGGTAGGATAGGTTTGCTTAGAAGAGTATTTTTTGATCACCTGTGAACACAGTGGCCTAGATCTTAGCTCCTTTGTAAGGCCCCTTGAATTTTTGGTTCCGTTGTCCACTCTTTGCTACCTATCAGCCTCTGTTCGCCCCCTTAGTTCCTGACTGTGGTATTTTTAGTAGAGAGTCTGCTCTATCACTTTTTGTTAAATGTTTTCTTTTGGGCCGGTTACCATTCCTGTGGTAGAAGATAAGTTGGGAGAAAAAGAGGTGAAGAAAGTATATATATATATATATATATATATATAGATATATATGTATGTGTGTGTGCGTGTGTGGGTGTGTGTATGGGTGTGTGTGAAGGGGTAGGGAGGGACACATTCTTTTACCAGTGTAGAGATGTTACTGTTAGATTTAGTTGTTACTGGTTCCTGTCAAAGAGAAGGTCGTGTTTACATTGGCGGCGAATCGGAAAAGGTGGAGGAGATTGAAAAACCCTGAAGGAAGCGAATCACAGGAAATAAAGGGGCGAGACTGTGACTGACAGAGCGCTCGAATCCCCACGTGCTTCTACCTTCTGTGAGCTGGCTCTGTGCTTTGGAAAACACAAAAAAAAAACAAAAAAGAAGAACAAATGGGATCAGAAACAAAGCAGAGACATATCCGATCAATAGAGCGACTGTGTGCCCACATGCACAACAAGCCTTAAAAGCAAAAAGGGTGGAAATGATGAGTTGTGGGGTTGTCGAGGAAACATCAAGACATTTTTACACATGGACCTGAAAAGCCATGATTTAAAGGACCTATCCATCTTTCCTCCTACACACACACAAGCATCCGCCTCAACTTGTTGGCTAAAGGCCGCCTATTTTGGGAATCTTTTTTTTTTTATTGCACAACAAAGCAAGTTGGGTTTTGTAATCAATGTTTTATTATTTGTCGTTGTTTCATGACATGGGTTTGAATCAGGCAGAGACTTGCAAGCCATGAGGAGAGAGAGCGAGAGGTCATTCCCTTGCACATAGACACCCAAACACTTCACCTGAACAGCTGAACCCAGATACTTACATACACTGTATAAAAAAACACAACCTGTTCTTCCACCATTCGACAATAAATCTGACCAAAAAACAAATCTATTTTGTGAGTGCACCAGTCCCCCTACAGAGTTTAGACGGTCCTCTCAGGCTTTTAAGGTTGCTACTTTCACTTCACTTCAAATCTATTTTTTTCTGACCAAAGGAAATATCAACAAAAAATATAGTCTCTGTTCTTGTGTCCATCTGTAAAATGGTAATCAGATGAATGAGTCGACTTATTAGCATCATCCAACATCTTAGCTCAATACCCACTTTTTAACAAAAACATATTCCTCTCCGGGGCACAGATAACTGGACATTCCAATGCTGCTCTTATGATGTCATATAAGGAGGAGGTATGTTTAAACTGTCGCCTTAAGTCTTATTCTGGCATTTAATCCTAAATTAACTAAAACCGAGAAAATTTGTTCCAACAATAGATAAATAAAGGTTGTGTCTTTTTATACGGTGTGTGTAATTGTCCAGTTTTAACTGTGTTTACGGATGTATATAAAGAACATTGAAAACACATCATCACAGAATGTTTGGATGTACCCACAACCACTGCGACTTAGAAATAATATCCGATGGGTTCACGATAGAAGCGCACTCATCTTGTTAACCTTCACCTCACTCTCGCCATCTTTCTGTTCCTCGGAGGCCCACATTTATGGACCCCACTGACTCTGTTCAAAGTGCCTTGGAGCCTCGGGGATCCAGCTTGCCTTTGGAACCGGTATAAAATATGACGACGGTCACAGCGCCATCTTCTGCCTGGGAGGACTAAAGGATAAAAAAAAGCAAGGATAGGATTTCTCTCACTCCCTTTTTTTTCGCACTACTAGGACTGCTGTTGGTGTTATTTTAAAGGGGTCTTTGTACAGAAATGCTCTTTTTTATGATTGTTATTATAATTATTGTTATGATTATTTAATAAAGGATTTATACCATAATACACAAAGCACGAACTGGAACTTTTTATAACTTCTTCTTCCTGTCCAATTACCAGCCAAAACTTGGAGCCAATTTTTTGACTTTTAATTACAATAGGGTTACCCAAAGGGATTTGCTGCTTTTTTGTGCAACATACACATACGTAGGAGTGTGATGCCTGTCTGCCTGCTCCATTTGGCCTCTAATCTCCCCATGATGTCCCATTAGTCTGGACCTCCGGTGGCCCTCATTTAGGAGCTCCGACATCAAAGCTTTGAAGTGCCCGCCGTCTCCGAGACACACACTCTTACAGTACACATGCAATTACTCTGTTTCCCTTTTATACAGCCTGCTCGTTCTCCCACACACGGTTCCATTTATCTATATAAGCTTTCCTCACCTAAACGCAAACGCTTTTGGCAAACAGAGCACAGGCTGCCTGATTCACTACGTGATTTTGCTTCTGGTTATTAAGGTAGTCACAGTGGACCTAATGTGTATGGGAACAGACATTCTGGGTACTAGGGTTTTAAAACCCTAAACATCTCATTATATTCTTGAATATTTGTGAAATGTTATTAGCACACATATGTAAAGTGAAAGAAAAGTGATGAATCCATTTCTTTTTATATATATGAAATAGAAATCAGTAAATTGCGACCTGGGTCAACTCATTTAACCCCAACTTTCACAGAAAAAAACAGCTTCCTCTTGGTTACATCTCTGCCAGCTTTCAAAATACAGTTTAAGTTTTATTAACTTGTGGTTCTTCTTAATTGAACTGACTGACACCACGTGCATTTAGTGCAGCTGTAGCATTAAGCATTCAATTTAATAATTAATGTAACACCAATTCAAAACAACTATCTTCTCAAACCACCTCATAATAAATAGTAAATTCACTCCAATCAAACAAAGAGCTTCGGAAATGATTCCATACCTTTAGAATTCATTATTGGAGTTCAGTTTATCTAAGTAGGTTCAAATGTCTTCTATGTAAGAACTCAAGGCAGATATCATCAAGTCACTGTGAGATAACAGCCTAAAGTAAAAGCAGCAGTCTGAACCAGGCTGTTAGTTTAAGTTATTTAGAAGTTTAAATTTCTTTAAAAATATTTAAAATGTCCTCATCCCTGCTTGCAATTGATTAATAATTTTAAGGTATAGTGGAAGATTATCCTTTTGCTTCCAGTTCTGGGGGGAACTATCGGTGTCCCCACATGAGAATCTTTAACACCATTGTCGGTGTTCATTCCTTGCTAGTTTACTCTGGAAAAAATTGAGTTGGCCTTTCCTTACTTAGACTGCCTTGCAAAAGTATTCGGCCTCGTTGAACTTTTTGACCTTTTGCCACATTTCATGCTTCAAAGATAAAGATATAAAATTTGTATTCTTTGGGAGGAATCAACACCAATTGGGAAAACTTTTTTGAACAAATAAAAAAAAAGAACAAAATGGGTGTATAAAGTAATTCAGCCCCCTTAAATTAACAATTATGGCACCACCTTTTGCTGCGATCACAGCTGCAAGTCGCTTGGGGTATGTCTCTATCTATATCTTCTGCACATCGAGCGAATTACTTTTTTGCCCACTCTTGCAAGAAAAAAGCTTGAGTTCAGTGGGGTTGGATGGAGAGTGTTTGTGAACAGCAGTTTTCAGTTCTGTCCACAGATTGGATTCAGGTCTGGACTTTGACTAGGTCATTCTAACACCTGGATATGTTTACTTGTGAACCATTCAACTGTAGATTGTCATGGTCTTGGTTCTGCTGTTCTTTTCTTTGCTCCTTGTTTTCTAGATTTATTGGCCTAATTCCAGTTTTGTTGTATTTCTAGATTTATATTAGTTCTCATGTTTTTCTGTTGTCCTCTTTTGCCCTCTTGTGTGTGTGTATGTTCCTTTCCCCTTGGCTCCCTCGTTGTCTCCTCTCACACCTGTTCCTTGTCTGCTCGTTAGCCCTCCCTTTGTCTCTCTCTCCTATATATGCTCTCCCTCTGCTCTCACTCTTTGTTGGTTCCTTGTCTTTGCTGTCCTCCCATGCTGTTGTCCACGTTCCTCGTCTCTCCCTGGCTCCTCATGTTTGGTTTTCCCCAGATGTCTCCATAGTTCTGGTTTGCTTTTGATTATTAGTTGGATTTTTGCATTCCTGCCTTTGTTGCTGTTTTTGCCCCATTAAACTACCCAGAAATCTCCTCAGCCTGTCTGCCTCTGCATTTGGGTCCTCCAAACCACAACTAAACCCTGACAATAGGAACCAACCACAATGGACCCAGCAGAGCCCAGTCTGGACACCCTGAGGGATTTTTTCCTGAAGCTGGGAAAGGCTCTGGATACTATTGCCAGTCTCAGCCCGCCTGAGGAGAGGGTGAGTGCAGCTGGCCAACTAAGGCAAATTCTCCTCACAAACTCCAAACTCATTTCTCCCCCAGTGCTGTCTGAAAAGTTTGAAGAGTTGGAGTGGAACCACCAAGCAGCCAGCGCCCAACTCTTCAACAGTCCTCCACCACCCAAACCATCACTTCACCTCCTTCCAACTCTGCTCTCAATCGCCTCCAGTCCGGTTCCTCCACCTTCACCAGCTGTTGGTCCCCCCATGCCGTCTGCCTCCTCCAGGCGTAAGCGCCGCCGGGGGAAGAAATCCATTCCCTCTCCGGCGGGTCAGCCTGACGCCTCCACTCCCTCTCCGGCGGGTCAGCCTGACGCCTCCACTCCCTCTCCGGCGGGTCAGCCTGACGCCTCCACTCCCTCTCCGGCGGGTCAGCCTGACGCCACCACTCCCTCTCCGGCGGGTCAGCCTGGCGCCTCCACTCCCTCTCCGGCGGGTCAGCCTGGCGCCTCCACTCCCTCTCCGGCGGGTCAGCCTGGCGCCTCCACTCCCTCTCCGGCGGGTCAGCCTGGCGCCTCCACTCCCTCTCCGGCGGGTCAGCCTGGCGCCTCCACTCCCTCTCCGGCGGGTCAGCCTGGCGCCTCCACTCCCCCTCCGGCGGGTCAGCCTGGCGCCTCCACTCCCCCTCCGGCGGGTCAGCCTGGCGCCTCCACTCCCCCTCCGGCGGGTCAGCCTGGCGCCTCCACTCCCTCTCCGGCGGGTCAGCCTGGCGCCTCCACTCCCTCTCCGGCGGGTCAGCCTGGCGCCTCCACTCCCTCTCCGGCGGGTCAGCCTGGCGCCTCCACTCCCTCTCCGGCGGGTCAGCCTGGCGCCTCCACTCCCTCTCCGGCGGGTCAGCCTGGCGCCTCCACTCCCTCTCCGGCGGGTCAGC